TTTTTTTTTTGAGTTGGAGTCTCACTCTGTTGCCCAGACTGGAGTGCAGTGGCTGCTCCCGGCCACCGCAGCCTCTACCTGCTGGGCTCTGGCGAACCTCCCACCTCAGCCTTCCAAGTAGCTGGAACTACAGGCGTGCGCTACCATGCCCGGCTAATTTTTTTATTTATGGTAGAGATGAGGTCTCGCCAAGTTGCCCAGGCGGGTCTCGAACCCCCGGGCTCAAGCAATTCACTCACCTCAGCCTCCCAAGGCGTGGGATTACAGGCTGAGCCACCGAGCCCGGCGAGACACTTCTTTAGCTTGTTCAACATGGCCCTTAGGCTGGTTTTTTGTTACTCAGCCTAGTGATTCTACAGAGTGGTCTAGGTGGCCTTCTCTTTCTTTTTGTCTTCTCTATGTCCAGGAAGAACAGAGTCATGAATCAAATGTTTTGCACACCGAACAGAAAACTTATGATGAAAAATAACTAACACACAGGAGGCTGAGGAGGGAGGATCGCTCAAGCCCAGGAGTTCAAGATTGTGGTGAGCCATGATTGTGCCAGTGCATTCCAATCTGGGCAACAGAGTGAGACCCAACTCAAAAAAATCTAACGCTTATAAAGCACTGTATTGTAAACATATCACAATATATTAGCCTTTTTTTTTTTTTTTTTTTTATTTAGAGTCTCACTCTGTCACCCAGACTGGAGGGCAATGGCATGCTTACGGTCATCGCAGGCTTGATCTGCTAGTCTCAGGCGATCCTTCTGCCTCAGCCTTCCAAGTAGCTGGGACTACAGGCATGCACCACCATGCCCAGCTAATGTGTTGATTTATTGCAGAGAGGAGGTCTCACCAAGTTGCCCAGGCTGGTCTTGAGTCCCTAGGCTCAGGCAATCCTCTCACCTCGACCTCCCAAAGTGCTGAGATTATAAGTGTGAGCCACTGCGCCAGGCCCCTACCCCTTTTTAAAAAAGAAACAGGGTCCAGTCTGTCACCCAGGCTAGCAGGCTGGGTTGCAGTAGCACGATCTTGGTTCACTGCAGCCTTGACCTCCTGAGCTCAAGTGATCCTCCCACCTCAGCCTCTGGAATAGCAAGGACTACAGGCACATGCCACCACTCCCGACTAATAATATTAGCTATTTAATCTTCACAAAACCCTATGAGAGACATAGTGTTATAACCATTTTGCAGATGAGGAAGCTAAGGCTGAAAAGTTATGTACCTTGCTCAGGGTCGTACCACTAACGAAGGAACAGAAATTATATTCAGCCCGTCTGACTCCAGGAGCCATGCTCTTGGTCATGTGTTATATTGCTTCTAAATTTCCCCAGATAGGGAGATGATTGGTATAAGGAGTACTTGTTTGTGATCTGCTTTTTCATTTTGCAGCGTTACTTCCTAGCCTGTTGGAATCTCTGATGTCACCTAGAGGAGAGAACTGGAATTCCTGACATTTATTCCCCCCCTAAGCCATCCAACCTCTCTCAATTCTATATAAAGCTGAGATGGCTTGGTAGTCATTAGGTCTGGCTTCCTAGTTTCTTGGTTGCAGTGAAAAGTACACCAGGATTTGGAACCAACCTAAGCTGGCTTTAAATCTTGCCATCCATTCCTCTATCCAGTAAACATCTACCATGCTCCTAAATGCCAAATACCCGGCTTTGTACTAGGATACAGTAAATAAAACAATTCCTTGTTCTCACAGAATTTAGTCAAGTAAAAGAAGACTGGGAAATATGTCAAGTGGTGATGCTAAGAAATATAAGGCAAGGGGATAGAGACTAAAGAGAAACAAGCACTGTTTTGAAATACGGTTAGGGGCTGGCTCAAGACTGTAATCCCAGTACTTTGGGAGGCCGAGGCGAGAGGATTGCCTGAACCCAGGGATTTGAGACCAGCCTGGGCAACTTGGTGAGACCTCTTCACTACAATATATCAAAAAATTAGCCAGGCATGGTAGCACGTGCCTGTAGTTCCAGCTACTTGGAAGGCTGAGGCGGAAGGATCACTTGAGCCCCGCAGGTCGACACTGGGGTGGCCATCAGTGTGTCACTGCACTCCAGCCTGGGCGACAGAGTGAGACTCTGACTCAAAAAGAAAAAAAGAAATACGGATAGGGAAGAGCTCTGATACAGCGACATGTGAGCAGATACTAAGTGGAGGAGTATGTGGCTAGCTGGTAGAAGGGTGTTCCAGGCAAAAAAAATGCCGAAAGAGCAAGATTGTCTGTCCTATTGCAGGAACAGCCGCAGGCCAGAGTATTTAAGCCGTGTATGGGAGGGAAAATTAAAAGGAAACAAAATGACCGATAGGATGGGAGGGCGAGGGTGGGACAAGAGGCGGAATCTAGCACTCGGGGAGCCTTAGAAATCGAGGGAGAGACAAGAGAGAAGCGGCCAATGCTATGTGTCCTTGGCAAGTCACATTAAACTTTGACTTCTTTTTTGTTTTCCCCATCTACAAAATGGGTTGCAAAGTTGAGAAGATCAAAGATCGTGATGAAGGTTTTTTGGATAGTACCTAAATCGGTCCGTCGTATACGTAGATAACTCGAGATATTGCTTGTATTTTCTTCTTCATAACTTGGGCAGGCTGCAACAAGTCATACCGCTGGACATTAAGACCCCACGAGCCAAAAGGGGGATTTCGATCCTTATGGGGAATGTGGTCCTGGCGAAAGGAAAAGAGGAGCTTTGGAGGAACATTCGTTCGGGCATTGAAGATCTGTGCCTGAGGGTCTCCTGCTTCCCGCGCCAGAGGCTGCAGCGGCGTCCAGCTCGCTTTCCCAGGGTCGGCTGCAGCGAAGCCGCCGCCTCCGGAGCGCGTTCGCCCGCCGGCTTCGGCTTTGCAGCGGTCGCCGCCTCCAACTCCCGGCATGCCGCGGGCGTGGGGCCGGCACGCGGACTCCATTTCCCAGCGTGCCCCGGGGCGCGGGCGAGACGTGCCGGCGCCTATAAGAGGCAGAGCGCTGCGGCCGGAGCCTATTGTTAGCCGGAGCCGGGGCGGTTCTGGGCGACTGCTGCCGGGGGCGCCCGAGTCGCCGGAGCTGCCCGCCCCCCGCCGCCTGCCGGCCGGCCTGCCCACAGCCCTCCCTCCCCGCCCTGCCGCCCTGGGAGCTCCCGGCCGTCGCCGCGGGGCCCCGGACTCGCTGGCTCCTCCCTCCTTCCCACCCGGGCGAGGGCGGCGGCGGCAGCGGGGG